CCCCAAAACCCCAAAACCCCAAAACCCCAAAACCCCACATTGGTGGGGTCAGATTGATTCTTCATACAAAATTGCTAAATAATGTTATTAGAGCATAAGCTTCATTTTAGCAGCAAGGGCTCTGTCGAAATCAATTGAGGATGAGTTCAAGTCTATTTCTTTCTTTGGTGAAATTATTGGAGGTCTAGGCAACAGTTTCTTCCAAGCTATTCCAGTCTTGCTCAGAGATCTCTTTAAATACTCGTGGTTGGGTTCATATACTGCTGGAGTTAGGTTTATTTGGAAACTATGGGATTAGTTCATATTTACTTTGGCTTCCTTGGTCTTGTCTTTGAAAAATCAGCTTCCATTTTATTGTCTGATTTTGAGGAGATTGAAGGGAAATGATCAAAGTTCTATGAATTTTATAGCAAGTCTTACATTAAATCTTTTCTCATGAGGATTTCCTTTCTCTTGAAGCTTTTCGAATGGACCTCTGGGGCTAATTTTATTTAAAATCAATATATCCTTTTTGTTTGTCAAGTCTCTAAAAATAATTTATGCTAATTTACTTTGGTGTCAATGAAATTGATATCTGCTTTATTCTTCAAGATAAATTGATTTTTCCTTTCTGCATAAAGTTTTAAGTTCTTTGTTGGAACCTTCTTATCCACTAGCTCATAATTAATATTGTAATACCCGCAAGGTGGAGGCAGATCTCTGACACTGTTGATTCTGTAGTATGTTCCTCTTGAGATAGTTCTGAAGCTCGACTGTCTCCCCTTCTCATCATCAACAGAATTCCTCTGTTTCTTGTCCTTTCTCTTGGAATTACTCTTGGTTATACCTTTCGTGGGAGAGGTGAGCAGCTTTTGAGGCTCAGGTATCTTATTATTCTGAATCAGTCTTATTCTTTCTAGGAAATTTGCATCTGGATCTTTCTTAGGCTTTAGGAATGTAGACCTAACAATATATTTCTTTCTCTCTCCTGATAGGATAGACTTTTTGTTCTTTAAGACGGAGTAAAGCTCGTCTGTTGATTTGCCAGCTCTTGAAAGCATCTTCATTTCCATTGCGATAATTTATTTGCAATTATATATTTTAATCTTGGGGTTTTGGGGTTTTGGGGTTTTGGGGTTTTGGGGTTTTGTG